TATAGACGTTAGAGACAAGAACTTCTGCATGTTTTGTCTTCTAGCTCTGAAAAGTGGTACTATGGCATTCAATGCACCTAGATAAGCGTGCTCTCATTCTTAGGAATACTTATTCCTAGGATGATCCATCAGCTGAGACATTTGACAACATTCTTCTTGAGTTGAGAGAAGATGGATTGTCTTGGCAGTCTAAACTTTAGATATAATGTCTCTGGTTGAAAGGTTTCTTTTGGTTTCTTCTTTCGATTGTAAGGAATCATCTGTTCATTCGTGGTCCGTCTGAGATGTAGTTCTGCTTAATCAGCTCTTCTTTCATTCAAAGAAACCTAACAAAAAGATCATAACTCGGTTTCGTGTGTTTGGCTAACTTAACACAAATTACATAGTGAGTTATGGTACCTTTCGTCTAAGACGAAGGTAACAAAATAAATGACAAAAAGTTAGGGGTCTACTTCTAAATTACATTGGTATCATCAAAATCCTAATACATATATTCCTAACAAAGTAAATTACCAGGATGCAGAAAATCAAATAACAATTAAATTTGAAAAGCTTAAGAAACATGAATCAACTACCATTACTAGTTCATCAAGAAATTGGCTTCAAATAAATTCATGCAACATTGTCTTCTAAACATAAAACACAAAATAAATTAACAACTAAAATAATGAAAGAGATTGCGGAATCACAAAGAATTGAGGAAACACCTAATACAGTAAAAATAACAAAGAATTAAAGAGAGTTAAAGCTGCAGAAATTAATAAAGAAATTAATACAGTAACTATAAAAAGTAACAATAAAGAATAGTTGCATAAATTAATTAGAGTTGAAGTTGCTGAAGACTTGATGAAGCTAATGCAGTAGATTAGGGATTGCACTATCCAGAATTCACCGCACCGTCGACCGGAAATCGCACAAGCCCAAACCTCCGCCGCGCGAATGGAATCAGTTGTGGATCGCCTCCAAAATTGGTCCGGAGTGATTGATGATGCCCAATCGGTGAGCACTGACCTCCCTTTTATACTACTCAATCAGAGATGTACTCTGCGAATTCGGTGGCTGCGGAATACCTTGGACCAACGGACGCCATTATCGATCTCTCGTCAGTCGTCAGCCCGAAGCTTCAGCAAAACAATCGGACGTCCATAGGACCAAACCTGGATCGTTATACTGTGCATCCGTATGCACCATGCATGGTGCATCCGGATGCGAAAACGACGTCGTTTTGACGTCTAACTTTAAAAAAAATAAAAAAAATCAGAATTGCATAACTACACATCCATAATTTCATCACATCTATAATTTCATAACTATACATCCAGAATTACATAACTGCACATCTATAATTTCATAACTATAAATCCAGAATTGCATAACTACAAATCCATAACTTCATTACTATACATCGAGAATTGCATAACTACACATCCATAACTTCATAACTATAAATCCATAATTGCATAACTACACATCCATAACTTCATAACTTCATAACTACACGTCCAGAATTGCATAACTATACATCCAGAATTGCATAACTATACATCCAGAATGAATGAACTAAAAAATGAATAACATAATATTGTTGCTAGGAATCAAAACTTTTTTTTTTTAAGTAGGACGCGCTTTTTGATACAAAACGACTTTGTTTTTGCATCCGTATGCATAATACATACGGATGCACAGCATAATTTGCCCCCAAACCTGGAGCGTTATGCCATGGAACCGTGTTCAGCATTCATGGTGAACACGGTTCGTTATCTTCTTTTTTTTTTTCTTTTTTTTTTTCCTTAATTAATTGCGTGACTTTTTTTTCTTCATTTTCACATTTTGCGGTTTCACTTTAATTTGAGGTGAACAATGATTTCGGACATTCATAAATTATGAATTCATGCCTGCACATTCACTTTGGAACCATGCCTACACATTCACTTTGGAACCATGAGATTATAAATTTTCTGTTATAAGATTATGAATTTTCTGTTATGCGATTATGAATTTTCTGCGGTTTCACTTTAATTTGAGGTGAACAATGATTTCGGACATTCATAAATTATGAATTCATGCCTGCACATTCACTTTGGAACCATGCCTACACATTCCCGTCCGAAATCACGGACATTCATAAATTATGAAAATCCATGCCTGCACACTCACTTTGGAACCATGCCTACACATTCACTTTGGAACCATGAGATTATGAATTTTCTGTTATAAGATTATGAATTTTCAGTTATGAGATTATGAATTTTCTGTTATGCGATTATGAATTTTCTGTTATGCGATTATGAATTTTCTGTTATGAGATTATGAATTTTATGAAAATTCATAATCTCATAAAAGAAAATTCATAATTTGATCAACGCGCGCCGTTAACTCCACATCCGCAATTTTTTTTTTACCTAAAAACGACGTCGTTTGGCCTTGTGTTCACCATTCAAGGTGAACACGTTTCCAGGGCATAATTTGCCCCAAACCTTCTACAGTCCGCGTCGTCCGTAGATACGGAGAATAAAAGCTTGCATGTGGGCTGGGCTCAAGAGTCAGAATAAACAAGACCAACTAACATTAAGAGCATCCACATCAGTGGTTATTGTGGAGTTATTGTCAGATGAATTATCTTGGGTGGGGTTAATAACAAATGTGGGGTAGGGTTATTTTAGAAGATATTTGTTCTGCAAATATGGAGATAATGTCAGTAAAAATAAAAAAGTAAAAAGAAGAAGTTAACATTGGCTGTGCGCGTTTGCGCACAGCCCATGCTACACGGGCGCGTGCACGCGTCAGGCGCGCTGACCAGCGCGCCTGACGCAACTGCTTTTTATTTTTTTTTATTTTTGTTATTTTTTTTTCTTTTTTTGTTTTTCTCCCTTTCCCCCTTCTCTCTCCTAATCACTCTTACATTATCCCACAATTCTCCCCAACCATTGTGGATGCTCTAAAGTCACAACAACTTTATAGTTGGGTTTAAGCTTAATCGGTTGTAATATCATGCACCGCGCGTCAGACACTACAGTGTATCTAAACCGACACTGTTTCACGTATTATTTTTATATTATCAAATGAAACTACAGTTATATCAAAATGATACTGTAGTTGTGATGAAATGAAACTACAGTATATATAAAATGAAACTGAATAATATTTCACATATTTGAGTATATATTGTACAATGAAACTGTAATTATATTGAAATGATCATGTAGTTGTGTTTTAATGAAATTATAGAGTATATAAAATAAAATTAAATAACATTTTCACATATTTGAGTGTATAAATATTAAATGAAACTGTAGTTATATCGAAATGAAACTGTAGTTGTGTTGAACTGAAACTGCAGTGTATACAAAATGAAACTGAAGAACAGAGTTATTTTTTGCAAAGATTTTGTTTCTTTTCATTAAATAAAACGACGTCGTTTTGACAGTGTTGGTTTAAACACACTGTAGTGTCTGACGTGCGGTGCATGATTGATCATGCACCGTGATGCATGATATAATTTGCCAAGCTTAATAAGCTCACACCTTTATTAATTAAACTAAAAATACTAAAAAAAGTCCAATCACAAACTAACTATTAAAATAAAAAGAGGAATATACAAATTAATTAAAATTGTAAATAAATTATAAAAACAATTTGTGTAAATGAACAATACAAATAATGTTTATCAATACATGAGGCCACCCTTCTTGAACTCTTTCTTTATAGTTAGCTTAACGTAACTTAAGGAAAATAAAATAATGCAGTCCCTAGTGAGTAGTGATAGATTTTTTTGTTTTAATAATTTAGGAATATAAACAAATTTTATTATGATTAATTTATTATATTTAAATTAAATAGCAATATTAACTTTATAAATGATCGACTAAGTTATAAAATGAATGTTTTTTTACAAGGAGGTACATGAAAATCCATTTTCATTGTTCTCCTTTCGCAAATGCTCCATTTATGAATGATAATAAATTAAAATTGTTCCAAATGTTATGGCTGAGAATTCTGCATTGATTGGCAACCATCCCATGTGGCACTCATGTTATCTATAACCAGTTTAGAATTTCCAACAAGGTCATAGTCTTCAGGAGTGTCATAAAACATCCACCTACTGAAACATTTGAATCCCCATCTTTGAATTTGTGAACAACAAATCGGAAAGGGTAATTCAAATGGAATTGTGGTTGAACCTTGTTGGATAAGTGTAAGAATTTTAGTCCTACATTTATCACAAGGTGGTTGATTGTTTGAACACATGGGTAATTCTTGTACACTTTCAAGAACTCCTGGATCTTCTGCTTCCATTGTAGCATATGAGGGTTTAATTTGTGCTGTTGTTATTAACAAGCCTAATATAAAATAAATATTCAATATTTGCATTGCTTTTTTCTCATTTTCCTTTTCTTATTCTTTTACGTACTTTTCATTCATAGATGCATGCTTGGTGGATTGTTTTTTTTTTTTTTTTTTTTTTTTTTTTTAAATGAGAGTACATTTTAATGTTAGTAATAACAATTCTAAGAACATGCATCATGCATTTTAATAATTATGATACGTTATTACTATTATCATAAATAATATGAAAAATAATAAATTAAATTGAATACGTTATTGTTAATTAAGATGCATGTGTGTGTGTGTGTGTTTTCTTTAATAAATTAATTTTTTTTTTTTTTGAGAATTTCTTTAATAGATTAATAACAACTTAAATGTATACATACACAGTACACCACAAAATTATCAAAATAATAACAATAAATTAAAAGTTGGGAGAAGAATAATAATCAAAGTTAAACTAAAAGTTGATTATTTTTACATTATTGTTACATGTCTAAATTAATTTTGTTGATTATATGGATAAAACCTTCTTGATTCAATCAATCATTATTTTTCTCGGTAAAATTGTTTCATTCCCACTATGTTTATATGAAAATAGACTTTTAGGAATTTTAAATTTAATTGATAGATAAGCAAACAAATCGTGAATCAGATAAACAACCGTCTAAATTAAAGTTTTCAATTACTCTTCAACAAATTAAATATTTACAAACCCATTGTTTAAAGCTTTCAAGTACTCTTCAACAAATATTTACAAACCCATAGCTTGTTTTTTTCCTCAAACCTATTTTGATGAGCAATGATAATATGGGCACTGATTCTTATCAATAACTTGAACAGCCTTGATATCAAAATACCATTCTCTGAACAACTTTTCAATAGTCTGTTAAAAGAAAAACAACAAAAACAAAAAAGAAGGGTGCATATCAATTAGAATGATGAAATTTTCAAAAAAGAAGGATATATTGTTTAAATTTAATAATTGCATACTTAAAAACTAATTTATACCATATATACATAACTCGTTACCTCTCCAGTTCCGGCTGCTTGAGAATTCCAAGAAGGGCTTAAAGCTTGAGTATGAGCATACTGAGAGGTAATCAAGATCCCTTTTTTTGAATTGTGGTGGTCAGGCAAAACAGACAAGAGCTCAGCCCTAAGATCTGAAATATAACAAGTCAAAATTGAGCAATAACTTTTAATTATATGAACATCTTCAATTAAGTAATTAAAATGTTTATATATATACCGAGAATATAATAAACATTTATTGATTCAAACCTTGCATGATTTTAATTTGATTCGAAGAACAGTTCCTCCCTAGAGCACATACATCAAATTCTTTTGATGCCATTGTATACCGGATCTGTAATACATATATAAGAGCATAATGAAAGAAATTGGCCCATGGTAATTAGGAACAAAAACAAAGTGTAAATAAAGGAGTTAGATTGGTGTGTTTGCTTGAAATAACTTTTTTTTTTTTTGCTTGAAATAATATTGATAAAGGTGCAATTTTAAATTCTTAACACTGTTGCAAAAATTGATCTAAGCGGCCACATATGCACCTAATTAACTCGACCAAGTAGGCCTGCTAATTTATTTTTTTAATTTTATATTATAATATAAATGACATAACCCACACATATACATTGTTTTTTTTTATTTTAGTTAGCCGCCTAGGGCTACTGCATGCAACCATGATTCTTAATTATAAAGGTTATTGTTGAAATGAAAAAAATAAAAAAATAAAAAATCAAACCTGAATACTATCAAACGCGGACATTAAAATAAAGATGGGTGTCCGAATGTCAGCTTGCAAATTTTGCGGGAAGAAACACTACAACAAAAATTCAATATTGATTATTAAACTATTTTTCTTTGAAGTAATTAAAAATGAAATGAATTGAAGCTGTTAAGACATTGCATCCAAGCTGTTAAATCTTACCATTTCTGGACTTAATCTCGAAGTGCAAGACGTAGGCAATGCATTTTTCGATCCCTAGTTAACCAAAAACATTTGCATATGCAGGACAGTAAAAGCATAAATTGAAAGTAATGGAGAAAATATGAGATCATTTTAACAAAGTATAATATTTAAGAGGAATAATACATGTAATTTGATCAAACCATCAAACATGGACAGAAATGTGTTTTCTTGATGGTGCTTTTTCCTGTTAAAAATTGTACATGTAAAATTCAGTACTTATAATTAATCATACTAAAAGCTTATCATTCAATTAAATTTGATAGATAGGGTATAACTAGTTTACGATAGGAAAAAATATCCACCATCTGAAAGACACTTTACTCGAGAAGTGTTAGAAAAATGGCGTCGAAATCTGTCACAATAAATCGCGGTTGCCACTCCACCAGCTGAACTACCGGCTAAAAGAGCCTATAGATAATTTAGGTTTTCAAAATTAGGTACAACTTTATCATTTAATTTATAAACTATGACGATGACCACTCACAAAAACAAAATGAGATAATACAAATTCACGCACACAATTAGTTTAACAAATAATATATGTAAAGATAATGATTTTGCAAACAATTAAGCAAATTAAACATTTGTTCGTTTTGTAAAATAAAAAATGCTTACATTTTGTGCACTTCCCATTCCATTGTCTAATAGCTCCTGAATTATAGCGTTGAAAATTTTTGCTCCTCTAAAATAAAGTTTTGTACGCTGAAAAATGGCAAAGTAAGCCAAAGTAATCATAATACATAGACGGATAATTCTAATTTAAAATGAGTAAAGTTGAGGTCATACATTTTTAAATATTTCAGAATTTCCAGTAAACGATGATCCATCGCAATATCTAAGATCAACTCTGTTCCAGTTAAAGAAGTCTACAAGTTTCATAAAATAGAAGTTTCTTAATAATTAGAAACACAAAACAAAGAGTAGTTAAAATGAAGTTAAACAATTTTAACCATATAATTTGCTCTTTACCTGGATTTTTTTCTTTTTGGTTGCTTAAAAGATTTCCAAAAGCTACAGGTTTGGGTTTGGTGCTACCACCTTTTCGTACAATGTAATCCTGGCAGTCAGTGAAACTCATACACCATCCTCCCTCCTACAATCATGGTTTCAGAAACGGATTATTAAACATTTTGTTATTTATTGAATACGTACTAGGGCTAATGCATAATTAAATACAAACCAAATATTGTATACTATACTTCAAAGTTTTAATTTTAGAATTAACCCACTACTTTAAATATTGTGGCAGTGCATGCTAATAATAAAATTAATAAAAATTCTTAAAGACTTACACGAAGATACACAATCCAATTATTAGCGCCCTCACCGAACCCTTTCGAGTAGTAGTATGCTGCCGGATTTCCAGCTAAGCAAACTACAAAAATAAATAAGTATAAATAAATAAATGACATTATTATCTTGTACTTCTATGAATATTTATTTTGTAATATTATAATGTTCTTTAAATAAGAATTACCTGCACTTTTATCCTTAACAAATGTAGGATTCACTAAAGTTTCATTACCTGAAAATAAAACATCTTCGTCAGCACAACAACAGCAACAACAACGACCACAATGACAACAACAACAACAACTAGAATAATAATAGCATACCACTGGTATCAGAAATTGCATGAGAAGTTTCAGCGCTCCCTAAATTATTATAAAAAGGTAGAGATTAAAAAAAGAAATAAATAAATAATGTAAAACATGGTAAAAATATACAAATGAAATAAATCATTCAATTCCCGTTGCAAAATAAAATAGAGATAAAATGAGAGAAATATATACGTACAGCCATTTAGCAGAGCAAGAGAAGTGACAAGTATTAGCAGTATTTCTCCAAAGTTCTTCATTTCCAGTCTCTAATCTGTGGGAAAGAAATCTGTGGTCATTATTTAATTTTAACGTTGTTTCAAATTATAAAATTTTGAACTTTACCCAAACTGGAAAACAATTAAGAAAAAGAAAAAAAGATTAAAGCAGCTGGATCCATATATATCAGTGATGAGCAAGTAAGGATCAAGAATGCATCACTACTTATATACTACTCCCATCCATGAAAAATCAATACCAGATAAAACATTCCAATATATATATTAATATATATAAGAGCAGGAAAACATATATATCATGAAAATTGAAAACATAATAAAGATTGAAGAAGAGTGAAGAAACCTGGATCAGCTGGCTTGCTCTGACGTCGAAGGTTGAAGCGATCTAAGTTTGAAAGGATCCAAAGGAGTATAGCTTCAGGAGAAGAAGAAGAAGAAGAAAAGAGAAAACAAGTTAAGTTTGGGGCAAGAAAAGAAAACAAGTAAACATGTATTTATAGGCCGGGTATGGGTATGGAGTCATTACCTAATCTTTCATCTTATCAGTTAGTCGCATTAGAGAAAGCAACACCGCATTAATCAATTATTATGGAATTGACACAATTCTCTTTTGGTACAAGTGCTTAGAGCATCCACATTTGTTGGGGAGAATAGGGGATAATGTAAGAGTGATTAGGAAAGAGAAGATGGGAGGGGAGAAAAAAAAAAGGAAAATTAAATTTAAAAAAAAAAAAAAATCAGACTGTCAGGCGCGCCGCGCGCCTGCGCGCGTGGCTGTCACCAGTGGTGGTTTTTGTGGTGGGTCCCACCATTTCTGCATTATCTCTTCATTTGCAGAACAATTATTTCTCAAATAATTCTTCCCCACATTAGCTATTATCTTAGGTGGGGAGAATTAATTCTGAAATATCTCCATATGATCCACAAATGTGGATGCTCTTATCACGATTCAACCCCAACACTTTGTTTAGTTTGTTATACCATGGACCAAGGTCCACCAGCAATTTACATTTACTATGTAAATTATGAATATTAAGTATATAAATTGTGTATGTAAATTATGAGCATTCGATCAATATGCAAATTGTGGACATTTAACATATGTAAATTGTATGTTTAATTTTGGACTCGGGTCGAGACCTTGCAAGATAGACCAAAGTCCACAGAATAATTTGTCCAACCTAAGGCCCCCTACGCTTCGGCCCGACATAACATAGCATAATAAATTTAGAATCTTCAATTTTACCTACTCATTCCTTTTATGAATTGACATTAATTAAATTAAAGCTACTTATGACATATTTATTAGTGGATATAATAATTCTATTGTTTTAAATTAAGGACTACATAGCACTAAACTTCTCTTAGACCTTAGCTATATAAATTAATTTGATTGTGACTTTTTTTATACAAAAGAAATATAAAAATATCATACAACACACTACAAAAATTGAGATTTTTACTAATATATATGTACACAGACCATAAATCATACTAGTTTCGAATTTTCTAGATATAAATTGTGATATGATCATAAGAATACCTAATCATCCATTCATCCTTGTTGGGAAGTGTTAGGCTATTATGTATTAGATGGCAGATCATGTTTTAAAAAACAACAAAAAAAAAAAACAAAAAACAAAAAACAAAAAACAAAAAACAAAAACAAAAACAAAAACAAAAACAAAAAAACAAAAACAAAAAAACAAAAACAAAAACAAAAAAACAAACAAACAAACAAAAAAAAATAAACTAAAAACATGCACTATGTATACACTTATTAGCAATTAGGTACCCTAGCCTTAATTAGTTTCTATATAAATTTAAAGATTAACTAGCACCTAACTCTCCTTGACTTTAACTATATATGTTAAATTGATTATGAAGTGAGATATTTAAGTCGAAATAGAATGCAGTGTAAAACATTATCGACAAACCAATGGTATAAAACATACACACACACATAAAATACAATAGAGCAAAATATACAACATAATTACATAACAAAAATTAATAGTAGCTCAACACGTACAGAAATTGCTTGGTGCTAAACATGAACAGAAATTGTTGAATAAAGTAATTGTAGCAAATTTAATGCTAAGAAAAGCACTAATAGTAGCATCCTTGGGTCTACGACTCTAGATTCCATAGCTATTGTTGAAAAAATTAATTGTAATCCTCCACAATTATTTCTATCTAAATAAAATGATAATTAAAGAAATTGTTTTAGGTCACCTTAGCTGATGCAATGCTTGAATTTCCAAGGTTGTACGTACAATATTAATTAGGGTTGGTCCATCAGCATAAATGAATTCCTTCATTTATATATGGTTTGTCGTTTATTAAAAACTAGTTTATTTATTGAGGCTCAATCACAATTTTTTGGAGTTGGCATGGATCATTTACTCCTATACAAATCAACTCAAAAAGAAACCCAAACATTCTTTGTCACATCACATCACTACTATTTTTAAAAGCAACAAATTAAAATCACTATTAGAATAGGCCTATTCTAATATAGTAATATGTCATAGTATTAATAGGCACAAGATCACATGCTCTTTGGCTCATAGCATTCCATCATGGTCTCATCCTCCTCCTCCAATTTGGCTTCTAATTTCTTTTTTCACATTTAATGGCGAGTAACAAAACCCAACAAAAAAATCGAAGGCAATTAATATTTCTGTAGAATCCATTTTACCAATTTCGTTTATTATGTCAAACAAGAAAGTACACCTTTCATCTTATCAGTTAATCTCATTAGAGAAAGCAACACCGCATTATTAATTATTATGCATTCATACATTTCTCTTTTGGTACAAGTCCTTATCACGATTCAACCCCAATTGTTGTTATACTATGGATCATGGTCCATTTTTCAATTTACATTTACTTTGTAAATTGTGTATATAAATTGTAAATATTTAATTAGTATGTAAATTGTTTACATTCAATATTAAATTGTGTATTTTGGATCCAAATTCACCTTGCAAGAGGGATCCGATTTCACAAAATAATTTGTCCAATTCCAAATAAATCCACGTCCTGACACGACAGAGCATAACATAATAAATTTAGAATCTACAACCCTACCTATTCCTTTTATTAGTGGATATAATAATTTATTGCTTTGAATTGTAAAGTGTTCATATTATATTATTATAGATATTTTTTTGTACATTATTATAGTCCAAAATTAGATATTTGTGTATTCCTCTTAAATTTGTTACATATATAGTAATCATAACAAATACGGAGTACTAAATAATAAATATTAAATCCCTTGAAAGCTCAGACAGCTCGAAAGGCCTAACAATTTCTCAGGATGCTCTAAGCTCTAGCCTAGCCTTAAGTTTTAATACTTGGGCAGATGAACTAATAGCTAAAGCAAAAGGAAATAAGGATGAAGCTATGGTCCAAACTGTGGAGGAGGCAAGACAAGAGGTTATAGCCTTCTTCAAGGCTGCTCTTGTAGACATGGGACAAGAGGAATATGAAGAGAAATCAGAGGACTTGATTCAAAAAGCAACAGATATATTCATCAATAGAATGGCAAAGCAGGCTGAGGAAATGACTTCAAGTGGCTCAAGTAAAAAGGGGAAGACTTGGACTAGAGGGGCTGTGGTGGAGAAGCTGCATGACCTTGTGGATAGTGATGAGGCATTTGCAGTTGAGATAGATGAGGCAGTGAAAGAAGTTAACTCATACATGCATTCAGTTTATGACAAGGATAAGAGAAAGTACATTGAGGAGAGTGAGGTAATGTCTCTCAAAGCAGTTAAAATGTTCTGGCATAAGGTGAAGGGTAGGCCAGCTGTAATGAAAAGGCTTGGCATGGGCACTATGCTTGGATGCCTGATGATGAAAGAACCTAGACTATTTGGTGGTGCACTCTGTGAGTGGGCCACTAGGCTAGGGTGATTTTTTTCTTGGCTTGCAGGGTAACCTTATCCAAAAACCTGTAGGGTGGAGGGATTGGCTGCCATAGGGTTGATCTCATCATGAGAAAGGATGCCTTATGTCTCTTTTGGTTTGGAATGGTTTTATATGAATGGGAAAATGCTGAGATGTTGGAATGATACAGATTTGCAGAAGAGGTTGGATCTCTGGGATCTGTTCTGAACAGCAGGAGGGAAAAGTTAATATGAATCCTGATGGTTAATTGAAGAGGATTGATTTAGGTTTCTGCAACTACAACTTGAAGCTTTTGGGTGGAGAGTTGTAGCTGCCATGATATTGATCTCTTTATGATAAGTGATATCTCATGCTTATTTGCTCAGGGACTGTTAGAACAGACCTGAAGGATTTAGTTAGAGAAGCAACACGTTGATAAAACAGAAATGCAGTCTAATCTGAACTGAATTGATCTGAGAAGTTTGGGTGAAATATGGTTTGTTTTCAGAGGATTAATTCGGGAATTATGGAAGCCATTTTGCAGCACATCCTAAAGCATTTAATGTAGAAGGTTGGTATTTTGCTGAAATGAAGAGTTTAGTTGGCCCAGTTTGAGAAATCTGAGTTATGACTTAAGAGGGACAGAAACACAAATGGAGCATCTTGAGAAATCTGAGTTCTTTACAAGTTGCAGATTCAATTTTAAGCATGGTATGTGGAGGATTGATCTGCCATGGGGAGGATCCTTTGTGGGGAAATGAACTCCCATGTTTTGTGTAGATATCTGGATTATGGAGAAGATCTGGGGAGTTTTTAGCTTGGAAAAATGAGTGAAAAAAAAAAATAGCAGAATGTTCCAGTTTTATAGCTGGCTATTGAATGCAAGTTGAATTGGTGGGAGTCTGATCTGAAACAAAGAAGAAGGTGGCACTGAACCATGCTGAAGGAGGGTTCACCTAGAAGGGTTGACCTTTGTAGATTTAGGCTCTTTAGCCTTGTGGTTTTGTAGGCCATTTGGCCCTTTATCATTTAGGCCATCTTTGATCAGCTTGTTTTGTAAGGCTTTTGCCTCTTGTAATCTTTAACCATAGGTCACTTTTTGACCTATGGTGTCTCTTGTAAGGCTCTGTGCCCTTGTGATGTGGAATGAAGTTCTTGGTTCTTAAAAAAAAAAAAAAAAAATCCCAATTGTATAAAGAAAACTTAAATATCAAATTCGAAATTATTCTTAATAAAATTTGATCTCAAATAATCTAAAAAAGACTCAAGCATTACCAATATAAAATTGATGACCTATTATTGGCTCTTTCATTATAGCCATCAATAAACTTAATTAGTAACCGATCCATTATAGCCTTTGTTACTTGCTATTTAAAATAAGGACGTACTACATACCACTAAACTTCTCTTAGGCCTTAGCTATATAATTAATTTAATTGTGCCTTTTTTATATATACAAAAGAAAGATAAAAATAACATTCAACACACTACAAAAATTTAATTTTTTAGTAA